GGGGGGGGGGGGGGGGGATTAAAAAGAGACCTTTTCCCATCATGAACTTAGTCCCATGTCTCGGGCAGGCACCCCGGGGCGGGGGGCAGACCGTCTTAAATGAAGGGCTTGCCAATGAGTGATAAAGCTATACCCTTTTGGCCTAAAGGTTTTGGGGAGATAAGTACCCTAACTAAGCAAAAAATTGAGCTAGGCTTACTACATTTATTTATAGGACCAAACCTCAAGCTTAAAAATAAGGAACGAATGATCGATTTAATTTTAGCAGCTATGATAATAATTGCCCAACATTGGAAAACTCTAGACAGCAGAACAGTTGAGTTGTGGATTAACAAAGTTAAAATAATGAGACGTCAGAGGCAGGAACCCCAATTCTATCAAATTTGGACGGATTTTAGGGTTTACCACAATAGCAATAAGGCATAATATGCTAATACTTTACCTATATGGTAAATGAGTACATGTGCAGTCCCCATCTCTTTACTTAGTTTTAGGAGATGGTTTTGTATTTTCTATATCTTTTCTTTTCCTCTATGCCTCTTGGAGTTATATTAATTTAGTTACTTGATCCCACTTGTTCATCATAGCTCAGTAAAAACAATGAAAAAACCCAACTTAAAATCCTGAAACCTGAGTCTCCTCCAGCCTGAAATATAGCGGGAGGTGGGGATTCAAAAGAGATCTGTTTCCATCCTGAGTTTTAGTCCCCTGTCTCTGGCACGCTCCCCAGCTGGGGCAGACCGTCTTAGAGCGAAGGGTTCGCTGACAAGCCAGGATCTGCCATGCACACAAGACAAAGTGTGGATTTTACAAAGATGTCTTTATTGAATACTGAACAAACCCAGAGGTTACCCTGCCTTTCAATGGAATACAAGGATACACCACATTTTGCCTTCACACCTTCTAACTATGTTGGGACGCCAGACAGTGTTTTTCTGGCGTTGGCTGGGGATGATGGGTTCTGAAATACCAAAATATCTGCAGGAAGGCAGGTTTGGGAAGGCTGAAATGAAAGACGTGTTGGAAGATGCAAGAAGAGAAGAGGTTTCTATTATTCTTTGCCCACTCTTTGGTGCCTCCCCGTGGTGGCTGATTAAAAAGTCTACGGAAAAAGCGATGGGTTTTTTCCTGGCTAAGCTTTCTGCTAAAATAAAAGCTAGAGATTTCATGACATCTGAGACCCAGAGGGTTATTTACAATGCATCATTTTAGCAAAAGTGTGTGTGTGTGTGTGTGTGTGTGTGTGTGTATAAAGATATGAAGCAATTTTTAAATACATTGTCATTCTAGAAATAAATTCTCTATAATATATATATATATATATATAATCTATTTATTTATAGAAATAAGGACATGTCACTCTCTTTCATCCAGAAACACAGAAACCTCTCGGAAATCTGCAGCTTGCTGAAAAAATAAAAAATTTAGATTTACAGTGCATGTTTACTCAGGAGTAAATACCTGCAGACGTATCAGCCGCTGTACACTTTCAGTACAATTATTTCCGTGACAATAATTTCAGGAGATTTGTAGAGGAGAACTTCCTGGAAGAATGACACCCAGTGAGCATTATTCCATCCGTATACAATCCTCACAGCATGGGTTCATTTTTAAATTCAGGATTTTGGAGCCGTAAAGATTGGGCCTGTGAACATTTGAATATATAGGTCATATTTGAGTCCTTTGTTAAAAAAAAAAAGTTCCCTTTTTTGCTTTGGTATTTATTGCACCAGCACATATTGTACATGGTTTAGGAATGTTGCACACTTAAAAGACACAGAACCTATGACTGCTTGAAAAGTCACTATTTAACTACGACAGTTAGCTTGGAAATCATCTGATGGAGCTGAGGGTTCCTTCTGACCTGTGATTCGCAGTTCCAGGTTGGCCCACCACAGCCTTCATTGGAGAAACACAGGTAATCCCTGGCTGTAGGAACTCGCACGGCAAGAAGGCACAAAGAATAAACTAGTTTGGTCTAAAAAGAAAAGGATAGATCACGGTTTAGGTCAGATCAAGTGAGAAAGCTGTATCGGGGGTTCTAGAAAATTAAGGGTCCTGGTTATCTCCTGGAACTGACAGGAAACCATAGGCTTGTCTGCTGGAAGTATTAAAACGTGTGCCTTTTTCTAAGATGAACCTGTGTACTTGTAAATTAAAAAAAAATCCCATTCCAACCCTTCAGTAGTCAGTCTTCTTCCACAGGGAACCCCTCTCTGAAATTTCTCCTCGCTGGGCTGCCCTTGTCAGAGACCCAGATGGCCCCCAGAGATGGTGCCACGATTCCTTTTGCTTCTGTCCTTGAAAGAAGGCGTGGAGGGAGGAGGGAAGCACAGGGTGACTGCCTGGGTGACTACCCCAAGGCCACCATCTTCCCAACCTCTTCCTGGGTGAGAAAAATGGGGGCTGTCGGCTAAATCCCAGCCTGGTTCTTCCTTTCTCTTAAACTCCTGTCTGTTGGATAATCTGTTCCTAGAATAACACAGAGAAAGATTCAGGAGAACTCTTTTAAGGTTAGAGGAAGAACCAGGGTGAAGCTGGAGGAGATCTTGCATTCCCCCTAGAGGTCCATCACTTGGGGTCTTAGGTTAGGACTCTGCGTGGTCTTCCAGCTCTTCTTGATGGAGCATCTCCCCCTTCCACAGCCGATTAAAGAGCCAGGGTTAGCCCCCTTCATGTGGTTCCCTCCTCTGCAGACTCGTAAAGTCAGAGGTGCCGAGACGGAGAGGTAGTGGGTGGTGGGGTGGGGGGAATGGTGCTCCAGATATCAATATGGAAAGATGATGCCCGGATTCGGTCTTCCATCTTCCTTTGTCCAAGCATGTTGGAGAGAAGGCCAAGAGGCCTCATGAACCACCTTACCCTGGTGGAAAGGCTGGTGGGGAACCGAGGGACTGAAGAGGAACCTTGAAGGGCAGAAAGAAAGATAGAAGCTATCCTATTTTTTTGGCCAATGATGGTGCTCCCTGATGGACTTTGTTGCGTGTTGCTTCCCCCCAAGACAAGCCCACTTGCTCTGAAGCTCATTAAGTGACCTTGAAAGAATCTGTTTTCTTCTTCTTCCTCTGCTTCCTTTCCTTTTTTCCCTTCTTCTTGTTTTCATTCTTCTCTGCAAAGCATCAAACAGAAAGCAGAGTGAGGCGACTTCCTACTGAAGCGTGAAATCTTTGGCCAGGAGAAGCCCATTGCTATTAGCAAGCAAAACATTTCCTCCCCCCCAAAAGAGAAAAACAAAACGCCACATCTGGTTTCAACTGCCTTTTCATCACCAGCCCGCTGTTCTTTGCTCCAGAACATTGTCAGGGCAGGGAGTTGGGGTGAGCTTCAGGGAGGAAGGTTTGCTCAACTCTAGAAAAGCAAAGAAACACACCCTTTGCACAACCAGCCTGAGAGCTTCTGAACTTTACACAATTGGTTGGCACACCTACTCCGGAGAAAAAAGAAATCTTTTCTTTCAGGCTTGCTCTCCAAGGGGAGGTATAAAAAGGGGCCAGATCCAGAAACGAATACTGCACTGGGAAAGATTGATATGAAAAAGGATCCCCACACGAATCTGGGCTAATCCTAGCCTAGCACAAACCAGGGGAAGTATTTTGGACAGAAAGCCGCGCTCGCGGCCCAAAAACCGTCATCAGAGGTGTCCGCAGGGCCTGGTGCGAAGAGTCAAGGTAGCAGCCACAACGGTGCAGTCGAAGCTCCACTGTTTTGGAACACGTTAAAAATTTTGATCGTGTGGTTACGGCTGCCATTTTGACTTTTTTGACCCCCCCGGGGAGACCCCTGCATGGAAGGCAAAGCTAAAGAGATCTGACACCCCTTGAGGCAGAGGGAAAATATCACCTTAACCCAGGACATCTGCGGGGGGAGTTGGAAAAAGTCGAGATGGTGGTAATCACTGTGCCATCAAAGATCCATCCGTTATTTTAATAGATCACAGGAAAAAAAGAGTGGGTCTTTGTGTGGCATGGCCACCACCTTGACTTTTTGGACCCCCCCCCCCCTTGTGGATGCCCCTGGGGACAGACAAGGGTGATTCAGGCCGGTGTCCCTCACATGTTGGGGAGGAAATGAAGGCCACATTGTGGGGACAGGACCAAAGTAACGGTCCCCAGAGCATGTTTGTGCCCTGGTTAGGCAAGGTCGAGTCACTGGTGGACAAGCTCGTGGCACCTGCAGGGGAAGGTCCGAGATGACCTCGTGGGCTTCATTCCCACAATATGCTGGACCTGCTCACTGAATTAACCCACTCGGGAGGTTATTCATTGCCCCAACCACAAATGAACCACAGTAAAGACCCGGGTGGATACCACTCAGTAAGCTATACAGGATTAAGAAAAAAGTAACCAGACTTAGCAGGTTGGGCCACTGACTCTGCTTGAGATTTAGCAGTTTGGGTTGTGGGGGGGGAGAAGCGCAGCCAGGGAGCAGGAAGGCTCCCCGGGAGAGACGGCGCTGCTGGTCCGTCCTTCCCACGCTGGGTTGAGCGTTAAAGCTCATCGTCCAGCCGTGCGCCAGAGACAGATGCGCGGCGCAGAGCCCACCTCCAAAGGCGAAGGCGCTTTTGTCAGAAGACCCCAGGGAGGGGCCCCAGTCCCGCCTCCCCGCCTCACCTCCGACACAGTGCCGCTTCATCCGGCACTTCCTGGACTCGGACAGCACCGGACACAGGGCTGCGTCTTCCTTCCCGCTCCGGAGGGTCTCCCGGACTCGGATCTCTGAGCCCCACTTGTACCCACACGTCTGCCCTTGGTTGGTGCAGGGGCTCCAACTGCCCCAGGGGGCCGTCTCGCAGTTTTCTGGGGGGGTGGAGAGGGCTGTGAGACTCAGTCAGGACTAGAACCTTGTCAGCTGCCAAGCTCTTCATCCTTCTAGACCAGCGCTGAGGTGGCACCGGCTGGTTGTGGGATTCTAGATAGACGCAGGACTCGGGCTGGGCCGGGGATGGAGAACCTTTTGGGCTCGGCATGTCAAAAATTCGGAAAACACCTAAGTTGACTCTCCTGGCATGTCACCCTCCCCCCGAACAAAAGAGAAACAATTCTTTACATATTCATTTATTTTTTAAAATTACAGTCCAGTCACGGAGGTGCTATGTATTATATAAAGAAATGTCAAATAATTACAGAAATGAAAGACGAGTAAAACAAACTCAGTTTCTTTGGTAACTCAAACAGGGAGAATGGTTGTGGTCGGGTGTAGGTGAGGGCTGGTGTGCCGCTGAAGATGTCATGGCATGCCACCTTTGACACGCGTGTCATAGGTTCGCCATCACTGGGCTAGGCAATCTTTTCACCCCAACGCATGCTACGGTGCAGGGTTAATTAGATGCCGCTTTTTGTGCAAGACCTTGCAAGGTTCTCCCTCCTGGATGCATGGGGGGGGCTACTCCCTCCTTCAACCTGGCTTACCTTGGCATTCCCGGGTACTGTGCCAGGCCATGGTGTTGGGAGGGCAGGTGTTCAAACATTTGCCTTTGTGCAGATAGAACCGCTCTTTACATTTCATGCAGAAGTCTTTGCTGAAGCAGGTCTCGCAGCTGGGCGACCTGCACTCTAGAACAGAGAGTCTGTGTTAGAAAAACCCTCCTTCAAGTTGACCTAAAGTCCTGATGGTTTCTTGGATGGCCATACGCACGGGTGTCTCCGTGGCCTTCTCTCTTCCTCTCTCTCTCTCTCTCTCTCTTTTTTTCCAGCTTCCCAGTACAGCTTACACACCTGGCATCTCCTGGCGGTCTCCCCTTCAAGGGCTAACCCAGCCCCATGCTGCTTAGCTTACAGGCTGAAGGGAGGGAGGGTGCTGCCACCCACTGAGTGGCTGACAGGTAAACTTATTTGGCAAATCATTTTAAAAATGCACTGACAACTAACGCCGGCAGAGGTGAAGCATGGCTGGCTGGGGAATTCTGGGAACTGAAGTCCACACAACTTAAAAGTTGCCAAGTTTGAGAAACACTGGCCTGGAGGATGGGCATGTACTGTTCTTAGCTAGAAGGGCATGCTAAAGAAATATAACCGTTACTTTTACTGCATGCAGAACCAAGATCTGTATTCCCACAACCTGCCCAACCACGCGTTCCAATAGAAGAGGATCTCTGTAGCTCAGGGTTGAACTGTGGAGTCCTTGGTGTTCTTTGAGCCTGGTGGTTTCTCTGCAAGCAAGCAACAAGCTCAGAGAGCACCAAGGACTCCAAGCCACACATTACCCTGCACCCATTTTAGCCTCATGTAACACATGGCGTGAAAACAGCTTCACTGATCGCACCAGGGGTGTCTGCAGCTCAAAAAAGTCAAGATGGCAGTCACAACAGTGCGACTGAGGCTCAACCCATTTTATCTGCGATGCCTGTAAGAAACAGGGGGAGCTTCAATCGCCCCATTATGGCTGCCATTTTGACTTTTTTGCCCATATTCTGCAGACCTCCCTATGTAGCACAGGGAGTTAGGGAAGGGAACTAGCAAAGCAGGGAAAGGCGATTCCCAGGCCAGAGAAAACCCTACCCACAAAATAATTTTTTTTTTATGATAGCCCAACGCTATTTTCATTCAAGTGACCTGCTTGATGACCTGGGAGCCTCTCAAGGCCAGCAGGAGGGAAGCCAAGATGGGAGGAAAAGGCTAGAATTTAAACTTATATTGCAGGGGCAGATGGTGCCCTCCTTTTCTGCAATACAGGTAGTCCTTGACTTATGACCACAACTGGGACTGGAACTTCTGTCACTAAGCAATGTGGTCATTAAATGAGTTGCGCACAATTTTACAACCTTTTTTGCCAGGATTATTAAGCGAGTCCGGCTTCCTCCATTGACTTTGCTGGTTGGAAGCCCCCCGGGAAGGTCGCCAATGGCAACCACATGGCCCCGGGATGCAGCACCCATAATAAATACATGACAGTTGCCAAGTGCTCGAATTTTGATCACGTGATTGCAGGGATGCTGCGATGGTGAGGACCAGTCGTGAGTCACTTTTTTCAGCGCCGTCGTAACTTTGAACAGTTGCTAAATGAATGGTTGTAAGTCGGAGACTACCTGTAGAGTGTCACAGCCTGTAACCGAGTCACGCCTGTGAACCTTCTGCTGAAGAAGCCGCTTCGTGCATATGGGGCACCAGGCCTGAGATTTAGTGCTGAGCCTGTCTTGAAAGTATATTTAAACTGTGACTGGCCCCATCCCTTGAAGAAGAGGGACCTCGAAAGAAAGAGCAGCTGGGGGGACCCAGAAAAGGTAGGACCTCCCCCCCGCGGGATCACCGGCCACCTACTGATGCATCGGTTGACTTCTTGGCCTCGCACCCCAAAGTAGCCCAGCGGACAGGCATGGACGCAGGCGCCGTACTGTCGGATCCCGTCCCTCCAGATGAGCAGGAAGAGCCTCTGCTGGCAGGAAATGCACCCGTTGTCCTCTGAGCACATCACACATCCGGTGCAGTTCTCAAACATGGCAGTGCTTACTGAAACAGAAGGAGGCCGAGGGTGAATGTGGGCACGGCAGGGAAGGAAAACAGGAGCGATGCAAATACACAGGCAGACCTGCTGGTGAGAAGGGGCACCGCCCGAGGTCCACCCTCCCCCAGGACTTTGGCAAGGATGGGGTCTAATCCTGAAGTTCCCTCCGCGAGAGCGGCAGGCTTGGCAGGCTTTCGGATCGAGACGCAGCCTTGCAGCAGCCCGGAGCTCAACCTTACAGCAGAGGTGGGCAACCTGTGGCTTTGAGATGCCAAGCACTTTTGGGAGGGGAGCAGTGCAAATGGCACAGGATTGCCTTCCAGCAGGGCTAGTTTTTCTGCTTTTCATAGCGCATTGTATACCCTTAGCGGGGGGGGGCGGTCTTGCTGCAGGATTTAAGACCTATCTCAAGAAATGGCAGGACCTGTTTCAGCTTGGAAGCTAAGTAGAATCTGGCCTGGTTAGGCTTTGGATGGGAGACCACCAGGTTATTTGAAGGCTGGAGGCAAGATGCTTCCTGGAGGAAGGCAATGGTGAACCCCATCCAGACTGTGCCCAGAAAAAGAAAATGGACATCCAAGAATCTCCCAGGAGTTGAGTTCAACTTACAGGACCTTAAAATCTCCCTTGCCATTTTCATGGATTGAAAAACTAAAATTGGGTAGGCACAGTTGGAGCGAAACTAAGCCACAAAGCATTGTCCTCCATGGAGAACAAGCTGCGGGAACCTCTTCCGTTAGCCGGCTATTCCTTGAAGGCATTTGAGGGGGTGGGGGAATCTGACGGGTCCCTCTGTTTTACACTTGACCTCCTTTATTTCTATGGCTTGCGGTTAGGGCCAGAGGGGTCTGGCGAATCCACAGTGATGTCACCCACCTCACGGCATAATCGAGCAAAAGATTGCTGGTGAGGAGGTGTTCCTGGAAGCATGGTGTTCAGACAAGTCAGCCATCAACAGGCACACAGAGATAAACCACATTTACACACCGTTCAAAAGAGACAATAAAAAGGGAATAAAAAGACCAGAGCACCTCCTCGCCATCAATCAACACCCAGATAAGCAGGGATTAGCACCGGACAAATGATCAAGCAGTAAACAGCAGCCTAATCTAGGAACTACCAAGGAGAAAACAACTCCCCCCCAACACTGGCCGGGCAAGCTGCTGTGTATAAACAGGGAGCAAACCCCACTCCCTTCTAGCACTGAAGACGTTACCTAGCCGGGTAACGAAACGTCTGCAAGAAGACAGCCAAGCTCAGAGAACCCCAAGGACTCTACAAAATCAAGCTCCCAATAAAAAACACCAAACTGAGACTGGGGCTGGAACCCTAGGAGGCTGCAGATCCAGGGGTCAAGTCTCCATTTTGCACCTGGTGCAAAAGACGGGACCAGGCACTCCCCACCCCACCGAATGTAGGTGGTACAAAATGGGTGTACAATTGCTTGTCTGTGGGGATAAGTGCACACAGGAGAAGATCAGTTCAGCAGCTCCGAGAGAGAGCTCACAAGCGGGCAGTTAGAGGAGAACCAATATTTACATATTTTTATTGCACTGGTCGAATTTTAACATGCTCTTAGTGGGATCCCCAGCCCTTCGCAGCTCAAATGATAATTTGGTTTAAAATAAATTAAGTGCAGGGCAACCCCTGCCCTCCCCACAATTCATTTTCTCACCGACCAGGGTTGCTTTCAACATACAACAGACTCACATAGGCGATTGAGTTAAGCTGTTTTTCTGCATTTCCACGTAAATAAATGAAAAGGCTGAGATTTCGCACCGTGCTAAGCCCCAAATTTTAAAAAAAATACACCTAAGAGGCCAAACCACAATTAACACAGAGGTGTATCTGCAGAAGGGGGGTCAAAAAAAGTCAAGATGGTGGTCACAACCATGCTGTCGAAGCCCCACGCCTGGGTGTGTGACCCCCATAAAAAAGGAATGGGGCTTCAATCGCAAGGTTGAGGCTGCCATCTTGACTTTTTTGACCCCCCTCCCTGGGGACACCCTTGCGCGTAACTCTCCAGTTATAGACTGCACCCCAAAACACGTAGTCCAAGGGCCAAAGCTTTTCTGCCCCACCAGACAATAGGAAGAGCTGTTTGGCTTGTTTGTGGAGCTCATCCCCGTCTTCCACGTCATGCCATCAAGAGGCCAATCCTGGGGTGTGTGTGTGTGTGTGTGCGTGTAAAAGAAGCCTGTATGTTTTTTGTTAACCCCAAAAGCTTCTGATCCAGCAAAGGGATCCCTGCTGCTGCATGGAGAGCCGTTCTCTGGCTAGAAAAGTTTGTACCCCTCTGTGTGCCTTTGGAAAAGTTGCATAAAAATCTGTGTCTGTTTGGGAAAGATCCATTAAAAAAATATATGTTAGTCCTGAGTTGCATATAAATAAAATGCCCATCAGCAAAACTAGGTAGGGAAAAGAAGCAGGCGTACATTCGTTGTACAGAAAAAAAAATATGTAAATGGCAGAAACTGTGCCCAAAGCTTGCATGACAGCAATTACACATTTTCCAGCCGCCTCATTTTTTATATATGCATGATTTGCCGAGAAATTAGACAGAAGAAAATAATATGCGGGTGCATGTGGAACCCATAAGGACCAGATTTCCACCCCTTTCTGGCAGTTGTCAACAGTCTGTGACCCAGAGATTAAGTGTAAATGGCCACTGGTATCAGGAGCCAAATTAAGAGCCGGCTCCTTATTACACTTCACACAAAATTTGTGCAAAACACACAACAAATGGAAAAATATGTCCAGAGCAGTGTTTTTCAACTTTGGCAACTTTAAGATGTGTGGACTTCAACTCCCAGAAGTGGGAGTTGGCTGGGGAATTCTGGGAGTTGAAGCATGCTGGCTGGGGGATTCTGGGAGTTGAAGCCCACCCCGCTGTTAGCAGAATCCACCTCCCGGGAATTCTGTCCCAGATTTTGATGCCCCATCTTTCATTCCAGCCGAGCTGGGTACAATCTATTTTGCGGTGAGATTTCAAAGAAATAGTGCTGGAAAGTTCCCTGGAAAACTGAATTGCTAATTCTCTGCAAGAACAATTGTCTTCATTGAGCAATGGTGCGTTTTGCCTCTGACAGCCCCACATACTGGCTGCCCTGGTAGGCAGTCTGGGGGCCGAAGCTTTGGAAGCGCACAAGGGGGCTGATAAGGTGACACGGCGCCACTTTCTATTACGTTGCTCTGTTTAAGAGCAATAGCCCGTGTTCGCAATTAGCTTCCCCAGAGTGGTCTAAGCCAGATTTTAACCAGAGTGCAATCAGCGGGAATCGAGCACAATTAAAAAGGAAATGTTCCACTCCCTAACCATTAGCCCAAGACATGTTGGTGCCTGAAGCTCTCCCCACTCCCAGGGTGGTAAAAAATAAGGGTCAATTTGCAGTCCTTTAATGATGTCTCAACATCGATTGCCCCTGGCAAACCGTCCATTCCAGTTGCCTAAAATGGTACTGGGTTTGCATTAAACCACCCTTTCGTGGTCCTTGAGGTTTTCTAATAGGGTGGGCAACTCTTGGTTCTGTCTGCTTCCTCTGACTCATTTTTGCAGCCTCCGTGGCCACCCAAAATTGCACCAGCGAAATTCAGCAGGAAACTAGCCGTATCTCCTTTCTTACGAATAACTTTTCCAATCCTAGGACTTTGCAAAGCTTTGGATTCACCGTCCACCGAGCTCCTTAAAACACCTGCGTGACTTCAAGGGCGGCAGGTAGGCGGGAGGGCAACAGACGTCTCCTGGACACACACAGAACTATGGAATCGATCTCGGATTTTCTCTCTCAGCCAGCCTATTTGCTTATACTTTGCAAGATCAAGGGAGAAGAACGTTTTGGTGGCTGAAAGCCACGCTTAATGTTCTTGGTGGGCCAAGGGCCGCCTCGTGTGCGCAAACCCAATGCATCTGCAATAGACAGTATTTGTGTGTGGGGGGGACGGACCTAATATTCCTATTTTTAGGCTTACACTGCAACTTTCTTGTATTTCCTTCCCTGAAATGACCAGAAAGCCAGGGGTATCTGCAGGGAGAGGGTCAGAAAAGGTAAAGATGATGGCCACAAACCAGTGATCAAAGCCCTCTGCCTTTTTATGTGGGTCACAGTGCAATAGGCAGTTGCCATACCGCAGATTTGAGAACCTCTGTGATGGATAAATTACATTTTAATTATTAAAACTAAGTAGTATATTCATGTTCTAGTGTATCTCAAGAAATGAATAAATGAATGTGTGTCTCCATGGCTGAAATCTTGGTTTTCAGGCTTTCAAAGCTTTTAAAGCAAGCTTCGATGCATCATTGGGAACCAATATTTGCCTGTGATCTCACAATTTTTCCTATACTTTGGGGGGAGGGAATATTCTGCAAACAGCTAAAATTCCAAAACTTTCTTTAAAGGCAGCCCACGAAAAGCAGACGGCAGTGGTCCACTACCAGCCCCCAGTGGGTGGATACTCAAGGTCCAATCGATCATGTCCAGACATGGCTACAACCAGTGTCCCAACCTAAAATAGTCTTGCTCCCCTTCCCGCAGTGACCTGAGTTTCCCAGGGAATGCAAGAAAACCCCCAATATCTGCATTCACACAACCAGCAAAGTCATGGTTTGTTGAATCCTGGTTCATTAGTGAAACCACAACAGGCTAAATAATAAAACCAAGGTTTACAAAAGAGCAAGGCCTGATTGGCACAATCCGGGAAGCCATGAAGACGCACAGGACTTTATAGCGAAGAGCATTGTGGGAACCCAGACAAAGCATGCAACTGGTCTTTGAGGAGGATGGGAACCACATTTGCTGCACATCTGCTGGAGACTGCCAGGCACGGACATCTGATACAATCCACACATTGTAACATCACTGTGGCGATGTCATGAAGCGTGTGATGTGACCATGGCTTGGGTTGGACACCTCTGCCTCCAGCAATGTCTTCTGATGTTCCTTCAGAAGAACCTAAACCATCAGAATAACATTCCTTGCATGCCCACCATGGATGGATGCTTGTGGAT